CAAAGCCGCAGTGATGCGTGAAGGCACATTCCTCATTCATCATTCGGATTGAGTCACCAAAACTTTTCCACCTTCCCCCTGATGCGACCTACCTGTGTCACTTCAGAAGAAAGGACTATCAGTAAGGGCAGAGGAGCTAAATTGGTCCCACCATATGATAACGTCCCAAGGTGTCCTCCAAGCACTTCATTTCCTCCAATGAATGTCAGGCATGTCAATGTCATGCAACGGTTACAGACTTGTCCGCTGCGGGTGACGTTCAAGAGGGTTGTGCTTGGCGCGACGGCAGACCGTTCTCCTCCAGTTGTGGAAGCTGGCACACCACCACATGTGGTGGACGGTTGGCTGACGCCGCGCCAAACCCAGTCCTTCTGACACGTCCCCAGCGTACAAGTCTGTTTACAATCGGTTGATGTCGTGATAACTGCCTTCACGCAAAACTTCTTTTTTTGCTATTTTGTTGCATTGAGTAAAAAATTGTATTTCAGAAGTTACTACGTGCCTTTCCTTCTTGATCTCAGAACGAAGATCGCCGTTGCCATATTATTTATAGTGTATGTAGTGGTAAGTATATCCAAGTAATTCCTTTTTAGAAGGTTTTAAGGTTAGCTCTTTCGGGTTCACGGCCGAGTGAAAAGCATCCATCCAATATTTCGGGTGCAGGGATACTTAGTGTTTTTTCCATCACGACTTTTGAGATAGCAAATTTCTATTTATTAATAAGGGAGTCTTATATGTAATACTTCAACAAATGTCTCAAGCACATTAACCTGCTGAGCGACGCATCCGTTTTTTGAATTCAGGGTATTCAACGTAAAAGATGTCAAGGAATATTAACATAATTTTGGAAAACTCAATCGCTGAAAAATAGAATACTTATCAAAAAAGGGTGGCAGTCGGTTGGAGTATTGTCATGGACTTACGCAGACTTGAACATCCCAGTCTACCTGAGCGGTTTTCCCTCGGCTAGCCTTCTGACTAAAAGAGCCGTTCCTAGCTTCTGCTCTGTCCATAACCTCAACAGTTGAAGTCCCACTTCACGCTAAATGTATGAGCGGAAGCAAATAATGAAACTTTTTATTCTTTAGCTGTACCGCGCCTTGATAATGTTGTTGAGTCTTGTAATGATATTTGACCTCTTACTGGAATGTGCCACGTTTTGCAATTCCACTCAGAATCGCAGAGAATGTATAATATACTCGAGATCCCTGAGATCGGGTAGGCGTGGCCACATGTTTCAACTTAACCTGAAGGTGTCTATGCTTCTGGTGAGATATTTTCATCTTGACACAATTGTTGTCGTGTCTCTGTCCAACACAGAACAATGTGACAGTTGTCCCAGACTGGAACATTCAGAGTAAAGTTCCGTTGTTCATTTCAAATGCCACGCCTACTCTGGCTCAGAGATAAGGAGTGTATGTTTGCCTCCATTCAGTGGCGTCTTATGTAGAGGCAGTTATTGTCCAGTGCGAGTGCGTGGCCCCAAATCTACCCTTTTCAGTGCAAGCTTGCACGATTAAAATGCACTTTTCTCTTCACTGCCTCAGAATTGCTCAAGCGCGACACTTTTAGAATTTTTCTCTGTGAGCGATCGGCTTGAAATATTGTGTTTCAGGTGTATTTTGACTTTCTCCACAAGAATTTCATAGCACTGCTCGCGCGAAAGCTCGTCCGCCCTACAGCCGCGGAGAAGTCGAAATACGCACGCGGATGCCGTCGCCTGTACTTTTGCGGCTACGCGGTTTCAGGTCAAGCGGATGACATATTTTAAGTTCAGATAGACTCGAACCTCCACCCCCTACGCCCCTCTCGCCCTCGGACAGCTCAAGACAAAATTTGATTCTGACCTCGGAGGGAAATAGAGGTGAAAACTGACTCAATTCAGCGAAGAGAATTGGTGGCAGTGGAGGTGAATAGTGCCAAAATTCAAATAATTCATGGTCTTTCGGATAAGTGCCGGTGAGTGATTTCCGGTGTACGTCTTGGCTTTTGAGTAATTTGTGGTTCGGCGTTTGTGTAACAGGTTACCAATGAGTGCTAATTTATTGTCAAACGAAGGAATAATCCTCTTCGTATTCCGCTGTTACCTCATTGTAGAAATTAACATGGTACTACGAATATGACATCGAGGCGGAAATGAAGAAGTGACATAGTAGTAATCATTTCTGGTTACGTTGAGTGTCATATTTGCAGATATCAGTCTATGGTATAACAGTAATGGAACAGGGTTTGGATTATGACAAATTGCTTCTACAAACCGACCCTCTGGTCGAAGCATTTGCCAGAGAAATTGAACTTTTCCCCAGTGGAGATCAGGTTAGCCTAACATACGTTCAGGAATGTTGAATCTAGTTGAATTACTGAGGTTTGGTTAAATCGAGATTGCCATCAAAAATGCACCAGACATGTCTATCCCAGAGAACAGAGATCGGATTGAGCAGATTGCCCAGAAGTTCGAGCAGATCTCCTACAGTGAGCTCAAGGTTTTTGATAGGGACCCAACAGCGCTTGCTAATCTCGCGGTTACAGGTAATGGTCCAAAAAGCCACATCGTTATGGCTTAGAGAATACCTCAAGTACGCGAACTTGACTGGTTCCTTCCTGAATGACGACCGCGAATCTTGGGTAATTGGAGTTTACGAATGGTCCCAACTGTTCGCTTTCTACAAACTCTGGTCGGTTATGTAGGCTCGACTCCTTCACGGGTGATTTCGACCATACATCCTTTTCAGGTCCCAAGACTTCGTCTGGGCAAACACCTCCGACTACGACCACTTGTCGTTGGTGTCGTTTCGATTCCGAATTGGTCTCCACGACCTCAACACTCCAACAGATCTTGTGATGGTGACCGAAGAAGTGAGGAACTTGGCAGCTCAACATCCTGACCTAGAGATTTTCACATACCAGTACAGCCGTGCGATTGCTGACCAGGTAAGGAGTTATGTTTAACTCAAGTATCCCAAATTACCCTATGATATTTCCAGCTAAATGTAATCCTGCAGTCTACTATCCAAAACGACTCCTTGGCTGTCGTTTGCATGATCCTTATCAGTCTGCTCTTCATTCCAAATCCGTTGTGTGCGTAGCGGGCACATCGCCATCAACCCATCGACGTGGGGTAATGACCGTACGATGTCCTTTTTTTTTATTTTCATTTATTTTTTTTCTTTTTTTTTTATGTTTGTTTTTTTTTCTCTCACTTTGTTTTTTTGTTTTTGCGTATTTTTTCTTTTTTTTGTTTCTTCTGTTAATTTTGTTGTTTTTTTTTTTTTTTTTTTTTTTACTTTCTCTGGGTTATTATTGTTTTTATATTATTTTTTTTTTTTTTTTTTTTGATTTTTTATCTGAGTGTTCTAAGTATCCGCTCTGGCGGCCCTATCCTTTTTTTACGTTCTGGAGGTTTTATTGCTCCTTATGTTTGCGAGTCTGTCGGTCGTTCCGGGTCCTTTTTCAGGGTGCTTCCTTGGGGGATGGGTGTGATGCATTTGCGGCCTGTTTTTTTTCTTTAATGGTGTCGTCATTGCGTCCTGGGTGGAGTTTCTTTTGATTTTCGACCTGGGTGGTACCGTCCCGTGTGATTTTTTTTTTTTCTCTGTTTTTTTTTTTTTTTTTTTTTTTTGTTTTATTTTTTTTTTTTTTTTTTTTTTTTTTTTTTTTTTTTTTTTTTTTTTTTTTTTTTTTTTTTTTTTTTTTTTTTTTTTTTTTTTTTTTTTTTTTTTTTTTTTTTTTTTTTTTTTTTTTTTTTTTTTTTTTTTTTTTTTTTTTTTTTTTTTTTTTTTTTTTTTTTTTTTTTTTTTTTTTTTTTTTTTTTTTTTTTTTTTTTTTTTTTTTTTTTTTTTTTTTTTTTTTTTTTTTTTTTTTTTTTTTTTTTTTTTTTTTTTATATATTATTTTTTATTTTATGTACTTTATATTATTTTTTTTTGTTATTGTTTTTTATTTTTTTATTTTTTTTTCACACTCACAATCAGTCTTGCTTCTTGCGACGCGGCTGAGCAGTGTCAGGAGGCGTGAAATGAGCCCACCCGCGGTTTCTTACTGGTTCTTTTCTACCTGAACCAGTCCACTGTTGGTAGAAAACGCTGCTACAGGTGAGCTCATTCACCCCTCTCGACTCTGCTCCGTCGTATTGCGATGTAACAACCACTTTTATACTTTAGGTACATCTGTGCATCGGTTTCTGTCACTGTGGGGCGTGAAACTCGATCCGATTTTCATGATTACTATCATATTAAGTATTGGCTTCTCTATCGAATTTTCAGGTAAGAAACCACCCTTTGTACAACAATTCATCATGACCAATCCTACAGGAGAAAGTTTCGTGTTAGGCACCGATTAGGCCCACTCATTGATGAGTACGCGCCTCCTAACTTTAGCGTAGGCAGCATAATGTTTACATGTGTTTGGGATTAGCTTTGGCAATAATCCAGCAAACACGACAGACCTCAACAAATCACTATGTCATTCATTCTTTAAGGCAAATGCTTGCGGACCATCCCTTTCCAACCTCTCAGCTACAGTACTCTTTACATAACTCCTTCGTAGGCTCAAAGCACTTTGCTTTGGGACAGTTCTCGCGACCGTGACTCTTTGGACTTTCTTGCGCGATCTTGTTACGAAAACTGTAGCGGGGGGGGCCGGAACAGAAGAGCCCACGATCGCTGGCAAAGCCGTAGAGTAGGGAAACCAGAGACAGTATGCGTTGTTGGAACAGGCGGTTGAATTTGTTCAGTAGCGGAGGGGTCGCCGTTTCGGCTTGCTGAGGATTTTTTTTTAGACAGTTTGCATTTTCCGTTTCTGTACCCTCTTGTTGGCGGTGCGGTTCCGCGGCGTAAGTACTGTCTCCTATTGATCGGAGGTGTTCACCTTCTCTCGCTAGACAGCAATCTTTCGGCAAAGCGGTGAGGTTGTAGGTAGGTTGGGAGAGGAGGGTCGTACTTGAGGCAGGATTCTGGGTGTGCCGTTCTGCTTGAGAGCAGCTCAACTAGAGGTACGAAATGTTAGATCATAGCCGTCATGGAATGCCGTAGAACGAGAGAGTGCAGGCATAAGCAGAAAACTGACAGTACAAGCTGTGAATGAGATTCTAAAAATCAAATGGAGATATGCTTGCCACCGTTTTGGGGTTGGTCATCGTGCGCACAGTTGATTGGTGGTTCCGTGGCAAGCTTACCACACTCACAACGGCCCAAATCTGTATTCACCGAAAACCAACACTGTCTTCCATCTCACGGGTATCGGGTGAAGGGTACGAGGCTCGCCTCAAGGAGGGTAGAAATAGTGACTTGTAAGTTGGCTATCCCCGTAGTTCGTTGTCTAATGCAATATTTGCAGCTCACGTCACACATGGTTTCGTCAGCAATGAGGAGAACTTATCACCAAAAGAGAGATGTATAATAGCGATGGAAAAGCTTGCGTGGCCAGGTTAGTTCGACCATTTCTCACTTTCTTATAAGATACCCCTGGCTATCGAGTAAGGTAGAGCTTGCGATTAAGAAATTGTGAGTAGAGGGGCTGAAACAAGGAAAAGCGAAGATTCAACGGTAAGGAAAAAACGAAAAAGAAACAATCGAATACGCTCCACATACATGAAGGATCTCTTCCAAAATTAATAGTATACGATATTGCAAGGGAGGGTGTGACCGGACGAGATCACCGGACAGAGTCTGTGTTCTTGTCGATATGCTCGCCGCAACTGATCCTTGCTAATTTTTTTATTGACAACAATATCCGTGCTTATGCTCTTTGGAGGGTCATCTTTTATTATTTCTGGGTAGAGCGGCGAACGGAGCCAGTGAAGTTGGTTAATGAGAGGAACGCGTGCCCGCGTCACTGCTTTTGCGCCGCAAAAGCACAGCTACCATGGCGGACTACAGTACTTGCTCGCGAAGGAAAGGTTTTTGCGTCCGTTTGCGGAGCGTGCCTCCGGAGCTGCATCTATCGCGGAGCGTGACTTCGGAGTTGCATCTAACAAGGATAACTGTTGCGGGCAACAAGAAAAGAAACGGTTTTGTCTCATCATTTGCTGTCGTTCCACTTGGTACAAAAGTTTTCTGCCAGACCACAAGCGCTGCCTCCAAAAGAGGGCTGTAGCGCTGGCGCCAGCGTTTTCGTGCCAAGCCGATGTAATAATCATGTTCAGGGGAGGGGGTCAGACTACCGCTTGTTCGCTGGAGACAAAGTTGATCCAAACTTCGAACACTAGGACACTAATAAGTTAACAGTGCCCCATCCTACCTACCCCCCCCCCCCCCGCCCCTCCCTTCCTACCCTATTGAGGGGAGGGGAGCAACAAAGAAGCGGTATTCTGTCTCCACTCGACCATCAGTGCAGGAGGGGCCTAAGTGATTTACTACGCCGTATATTACAGATTGTGAGTAAGGGCATTGAAACTTCAATACAGACTCAGAGCCAAGCGTACAGATTAGAGTGCTACTATCGCAGCGGGGGGGGGGCAGGAGGTGGTGTAGTGACAAGTGGGCGAGCGCGCTCACCACTCGCGCGGTCCTGGGTTCAAATCCCGGGTCGACTCCCGCCCAGGCCAACCAAGCCTTCTACCCTCCGGGGACGGTAAATTGGTACCAGATTCGTCTGGGAGGATAAAACACTGACTTGTACATCGGCCACATCGCATTCAATAAGCCACTACGATTCTGAATGGAAGTAGAATGCGTGCCGCATCCCACAAAGGGATTGATCAAAGACTTTATCCTTTATCCTTTATTGCAGTAGTACATGGCAGTATGTCGACAATTCTTGGCGTCACAG